TGGGGGTGAGGGTGTGGGGGGTGAAGGTGAAGGTGAAGGTGAAGGTGAAGGTGAAGGTGAAGGTGAAGGTGAAGGTGAAGGTGAAGGTGAGGGAGAAGAGGCATCTCGTGCCCTCTGGGCTGCCCAGATCTGTATTCCTGAGGGCGCAAGTAACCCGAAGAATAGGCTTTATCTCCCCGACGTCACGTCTGCCAGGTGGGGGTCAGCCCAGTGGATGTCCAGGAGCCCCGAGGGGGCTGTTTTGGACATCAGAACAAAATAGAGTTTCCCTAAGCCGCACTGGCTTTATGGGGCCATAAAAGTGATAAAGAACCTCAGCTGATGAAGATGCTGATGTTGTAAAGGCTGACTGCAAAGGACATGCTGGCCCTTGAACTGTGCACACACCTTGAACTTGAACACGCTGCAGCTGTGCCCTCACCCTCTGCTCAGGCAGTGACATGGATGCCCTCGGGTAAGGAGGATCTGGTTTCCAGCAGGAAACACGGCAAAATGCTGATTTCCAGGCCATGCTCACAGTGATGCTCTGTCCCTCGCAGGAGCTGGCACAGCACAGTGGTGGAGTGGCCGTGCTCTCATGGGCAGCCTTGTCCTGGGTTCCAGTCTTACCTGGCCTGAGCAGCTCCTTTATTTCTGTGCAGGGAGTGACCAAGTCCATGAACAAATCTGTAGTGCCCACTGCTCACCCATTCCCAATTGCTTCCCTACACAGAGCAAATAAGGGGCTGGTGGTGGGAGATGTAGTGGGCTCACCAGGGCTGGGCTTTCTGGTGTGGCACTGGTGAGGATGGATGAGGGGACACTTGGCCTTCCTGCCTGGGCATACCAGGTACCATCTCCAGGACCCCCAAGTCATTTTCCTCCAGGCTCGTTAGCTGGAGCAGACCTCCATGCGGGTTCCCTCCTGCCTGAGTGGCTCAGGCAAGGGACTGATTCGAATCAAGAATGGGATTGAGTGTGACAGTGAGTCTGGGTTTGGGTCCACCCCAAGCTGGGACATACCCATCCCACTGTGGGAAGAAGGGGCAGCTGGAACTGCACGTATGGGCTAGGCTGTCCCATAGCCTCCAGGGAAAGCATCAGGCTCTAATTTGGCAACTGGGATCACACTGGATCTAAACCCAGAAGATCCATGATTTCCTGGCTGCACTATGGTTGAGAGCACAGCAGAGCTGTGATTTGAGGCTGCAGAGGGATGTGCTGTCAGTTGGATGTGTCCTCATGGAGCTCATCACAGCAGAGAACAGCCCCTGAGACATGCAGAGCTGCTACTTTTCTTGACAAGGACACCAGAAGGGATCCTTGACCCCAATGAAAGGTTGCCACGTGGCCTCCAGATATTTTGGAATTTAATCCATCATGAAAAGAGTGTCTTTCCAAAGTTGAGGAGTTTCTTGATTGCTTTGTTTGAAATGTGCCACTGCTCTCCAAGAAGTGCAGACTTTGACTTGCTGACAGCCGTGATCTGGAGATGGCATCAGCTGGCCAGTGACTGTCACCAGAGTCCCCCTGTGTCCTGGTGTGCACAGTCTGCTTGAAGGGACAGCAAGTCCTTGTGACATCCAGGGAGAGAGGAAGGATAAGGGGTGGAGTCGTGGGTCACATCCAAACCTCCTCTAAAGTAGGGAAGACTGTGGATCACTGCTGCTCTCTCCTGGATCTGGGTAATTACAGACATCTTGCAGGAGGAGATGCAGGTGATGACACATGTCCAGAGCAGCCCTGACTCGCCCTGCAGCTCCACACACTGCTCCAGGCCAGCAGCAGCTCTTCAGCCAGGAAGAAGACCGGGTCACTTTGGGAGCTGGATGAAACATCACCAAATCTGCGTCAATCCCACCTCATTCCAGGATGTAGTGAAGCCTCAGATCTATCCTCAAATAATTCTCTGCACCCAAACTCACCAGACTGCATCACTGCCTGAGCCAGAGGTGCCCAAGAATCCAAATTATGTGGGGCATGTCCGAGCAGGGAAGGGAGGGCTGGGAGCCCCTGGTGCAGCCTGGGCTCACTGTCCCCCCCAGTTTGAGTCCAGCTGTGTTCCAACAGCAGGACTCTGTGACCTGCAGGCCAGAGACTTCCCTGGCCCCCGCTGGCTTCAGCCACCACCCAAACCCCTCTCCAGATGCTGAATCCTGCTCCTCTGCAGCAAAGGGAAGCACAGCTAGAGCGTGGAAGCTGGCTGGCTGATCTGCTCGGAAAACCATGATCCACCCCAGCCTGGTTTGCCCAAATAATTTTCCTGCTCCTGCTACCACCGACCCCTGCGTGGGACCTGGGAAGGGGCATCAAGGAGGGGGATGATTTCAACTGATGGTGAAACAGCAGAAGCCTTGCAATGAAGCCTTGCTGCAGGCAGCAGCACCCCAGCCTGTCACTGCAGGGAGAGGCAGCTCCTGCCATGGTCGTTTGGCTCTAGCCTTACATTGTGCTCTGCTGGGAACATGGAGCTCTGGCAACACACCAAGCCCTGGAGGACTCTACAGGGCCAACTGATCCCTGACCACATCCCTCCTGCAGCTTTGGCTGCTGTTCCCTCATTCCCATGTCATGCTGTAAGTGGGATGATGGCATCCTTATCCTGAACAGGTGGGAAGGAGTTTGCACTTCCCTGCCCCCCAGAGCCTGTCAGGAAGGCCCAGGCAAGGCACAGAGAAACCAGGGAGTCCCTGCAGAGTTTCCTGAAGGAATGAGTGTAGTAATGTGATGTAGGCTCTGAGCTAAAGCGCCCAGTGGGGAAAGCAGTAGGGCTGGAGGTGCTGGGCTGGCTCTGAGCACCAGGCTGGAACTGGGTGGCAGGAGCAGGAGTGCAGAGGGACACAGCCAACTGTGGCACAGGAAAATGTCCCTGGGGGTGTTAGGGCACTGAGACCACAGTGTGTGAGTTTGGTCCTAATCTGTCTGCTGAGGCCGAACCTCAAATGCTGTGTCCAGCTCTGGGCCCTCCTGACAAGAGAGACCTGCAGGGGCTGCAGCGTGTCCAGGGCAGGGAACGGAGCTGGGGAAGGGGCTGGAGCCCCAGGAGCGGCTGAGGGAGCTGGGAAAGGGGCTCAGCCTGGAGAAAAGGAGGCTCAGGGGGCCCTTGTGGCTCTGCACAACTCCCTGCCAGGAGGGGACAGCCAGGGAGGGTCGGGCTCTGCTCCCAGGGAACAGGGACAGGAGGAGAGGGAACGGCCTCAGGCTGCGCCAGGGGAGGCTCAGGTTAGGTTTTGGGAAAATTTCTTCCTGAAAAGGGCAGTCAGACACTGGCACAGCTGCCCAGGGCAGGGGTGGATTCCCATCCCTGGAGGGATTGAACAGCCCTGTGGATGTGGCACTGGGAACATGGGGCAGTGGTGGCCTTGGCAGTGCTGGGAGAATGGTCGGACTTGATGCTCTCAGAGGGCTTTTCCAACTTTAATGATTCTGTGATTCCATGAGTCTGCAGCAAGTCACAACTTCCATCTCCCAGGCAAAAGGCAGCTGCTTCCTGGCTCTGCCGAGTGGGAACACGCAGGGCTCAAACAGCACGGACACCCAGCCCCTGCAGAGCCAGACCCGGGGTGTGCCAACACCCCCAGCCTGCCCGGAGGAGCGCTCCAGCTCCAGCAGCTCCAGAGGCTGGGGAGGGGCAAGGAGAGGGCAGACAGGATCACTCTGGCTTGGGGCTCTTCATCCCAGGGATGGTGACAGGCTCCTCCCAGCACGGGGAGGATGGGGATGGGCTCAGAGGGACTGAGCTCTGTAACCTCCACAGGCAGGAGCCTCGTTAGAGCCCTGCAGCTCCTCTGCCTCCACGGCAAGGAAGTGAACGCTTCCCTCTCTCCCCCTGGGTGCTGCTGCGTGCCAGGAACCACCTGGGGACCCCTCTCCAATGTGCAGGGTGGGTGCTGTTTGCTTCTAAACCACTCCTTTTCCCACAGCATCTTCCCACAAGGAAACCCCAGGAGTGGCCAGCATGGGTCCCCCCTAGGTGACAACTTCCAGGCCCCTCTCTAAAAACTTCTGACATTATTTGCTTTTTGGCATTTCGTTTTTATTCATTTCAATCCATCTCTTCTTGGGTTTCAATCACCAAGCCAGCTGGTGTAGGTGGACACCAGGCTGGCACTGGTGCCTGCATGACCAGAGATGTCCACTGTCTGTCCTGTCCAGCAGTGGTCACAGTGAATCACGGAATGGTTTGGGTTGGAAGGGGCCTTAAAGATCACCCAGTTCATTTGATGAACAGCAAATCCTCATTTTCCTGGACAAACACAGCAGGCAAAAACTGAGATCAAGAAGAAAGGGTCTGTCCATGGAGAGGAAAGGATGCCAGGCAGATTCATCACAGGTGGGAAGAGGAAAGACAAGAACATACCTTAAATACTCTGGAAAAGCAAGATTTGACAGATCTGTGGTTTGAAGCCAATTCAGATGCCAAACCCTGATTTTCCTGCAGTGTTTCTAGAGCCTTGCAGCACCTGAATTAGGTCTATGGAGAGGTTAGGAGAAAGTTTTGTGCTTCCTTAAATAACAGTTTTAGCCATAAATAGAAAATTTATTGCCAAAGCCTGGTGGCTCCTGATTTTTGAGCACTGAGGTGTGACCTGCCTGTGCTGTCCTGGTGTCTGAGCTGTGCCTCTCCCATCAGTTTTGAGAATTCCCTTCAGAACTCCCAGCTGAGGGACACAGATTGAAGGTACTGACCATTTTTCAATCCAGTGAAGGAAAGACTTGATTGAGGATGTGACGTAATTGAGGACATGGAAGCAATCTTCCAAGGTCCAATTATTCCCTCAAGGTCACTGGGAAACATAAAAAATAAGTGGCTTCATTTCAAGCAGAAAAGGTTTGTGTTATGAAATCCAAACACTGCAATGGTGGCTGGAAATCCAGGACACAGAGTCATGGAATATCCTGAGTTAGAAGGGATCCACAAGGGTCATCCAGCCCACCCCTGTCCCTGCCCAGACCCCCCAACATCCCCACCCTGGGCATCCCTGGCAGCGCTGTCCAAACGCTCCTGGAGCTCTGGCAGCCTCGGGGCCGTGCCCATTCCCTGGGCAGTGCCTGGCCAGCCCCAAGGCACGAGCCAAGGGAAAACTCCATCCCTTTCACATCAGTGTCCCACTCCCTCCCAGGAAATCGGTCCCTTGAAGAGATGTTTCACTCCTGCAGCTGCCTCACTGCTCCCTCCCAGCCCAGGCTCTCCAACCACCCCGTTCCCATCGATTTAAAAGGGCAGCAACACCAGTGGGATTGAGCTGGTTTATTGCTGTAAAATGAGCTGTAACTTCCTAAAGTCTCTGCGTGCTGGAAGCCGTGGCCGGAGCCGGGGCATGTCCTGCAGGAGGAGCTCTCTGGACGTGTCTCTCGGCTGTTTTTTTGTCAGCAGCTCCCGCTTGTTCCGAGGGCTCCGCTTCATCCGCAGGCAAACGGGAGGTGGGACCTGGCACCTTCCCACTCCTGCGATCGAACGCTTCCAGGGATTTTTTAAATTGTTCGGCTGTCTTCTTCCTGCACGCCATCTTTCTCTCCTGTTCTTTCAAAAACTGCTGCCGTAATTGTTTGTAGAGACGACGAGTTTTCTTTTTGGCCTTGTCAAAGCTTTTTACCTTTGTGAGAGTAAACATAAGACCTTATTGCCACTCTCTTACCATGGAATAAAGAACTCCAAAGTGGTGCTTGTCTTCAGGAAGAGACAGATCCCACCACATCTCTCACTATGGCCAAGGTGACCTCCAAGCAAAAAGCTCCAATGTGCATAATCACAAAATCACAGAATCACAGAATGGTTTGGGCTAGAAAGGACCTTAAAGCTCATCTTGCTTCAATCCACGGGACACCTTCCACCAGACTAAGTTGCTCCAAGCCCCATCCAGACTGGCCTGGAACACTTCCAGGGATCCAGGGGCAGCCACAGTTCTGGGCACCCTGTGCCAGGGCCTGCCCACCCTCACAGGGAAGGATCTCTTCCCAATATCCCATCTGAACTTATTCTTTTGCAGGGTATCATTGGAACAATGTCTGAGTCCAGGTTAAGTCCATGGCCAATGACACCTGTAGCTTATTCCAATCCACAGATGACCTGGAGATAGGATATGACAGCTGTGTCCTGAGGTTAGGGTGGAGGCACAACCATTCGTGTCAAAGGTGGCCCAAATCCAGCAATTGTCTCTCCCAACCATTGGAGAGAGCCTTGGCACCCCCTCCTGATCCAGCAGGCTGAAGACCTAAAGGCCTCCTTGTGCCACAGTGGGCCATGAGCTTTGTCCCAGGGAAGAGGAAACCTCACCATCTCCTCCAGGAGCTGCAGCTCATGGGCACTGGTGAGGCTGCTGGATGTGGGCAGGGGGTAGTCCAAGTCCAAGTCCCAATCTGCAGGGCTGCTCTGGGTGAGAAAGAGCTTTGTGTCAGAGGCCTACAGACCTGCTCCGAGTGTGAGGGGCCCCCAGCCCGGGGTGAGTGTTTCCCAGCCCAGGGTGAGTGTCCCCCAGCCCCAGGATGGTGTGAGTGTCCCCCAGCCCCAGGATGGTGTGAGTGTCCCCCAGCCCTGCACCGAGGCCTGCCGATCTGCAGGCTCTGGGGTGGTACAAAGATGGTGACACGAGGCCATGTTTGGCCCTGCTCCTCCATGACCCCTTGTCTCCACTGTGGTCAGCTGTTGTCATGGTGACCTTGACAGGCAGCCTGTCATGAGCCACCTCCAAACTCTGCCTCAGTGACACGGTGGGCCCAACAGCTTCTCGTGCCCTTCACCCACTGCACCAGCACCATCCTCAATGTCTGCCTGGAGTAGTGACCAGGCTCCATCCCAACCTGGAGCACCTGTGTCCCCATGATGGGACCCCCAGTGCATCTCCAGCAGCTGTGCTCAGTGACAGCCAGGGTGCACGGCATGGGGACACACAAGGGTGAGTCAGTCCCCTGATGGAGCATCACTCCATGTCCCCTATGGGAACAGAACCATAGAATCATGGACTTGTGGAATCATGGAATGGTTTGGATTGAAAGGGACCTTACAGCTCATCCTGTTCCACCCCCTGCCGTGGGCAGGGACACCTTCCACTATCCCAGAGTGGTCCAAACCTCATCCAACATGGCCTTGGACACTGCCAGGCATGGGGCAGCCACAGCCTCTCTGGGCACCCTGTGCCAGGACCTCCCCACCCTCACAGGGAACGCTTTCTTCAAACTATGCAGTCTAAACCTCCTCTCCTTCAGTTTGAAGCCATTCTTCCTTGTCCTGTCCTTACAGACTCTTGTCCAAAGTCTCTCTCCATCTTTCTTTCTCTGGAAGGCTGTAATTAGGTCACCCTAAAGCTTCTTCTTCTCCAGGCCAAGCTATCCCTATTCCCTCAGCCTTTCCTCACAGCAAAACTGCTCCATCCCTCTGATCATCTTGGTGCCTCCTCTGGACCTGCTCCAGCAGCTGCAGGTCCTTCCTGTGCTGGGCCCCAGGGCTGGTAGAGTCTCACCTGCCTCAGGCAGAGGCGCAGAATCTCCCCTCCCCTGCTGCCCACGCTGAGGGACCAGCCCGGCACACAGTGGCTTTATCCAAGGTCAAATCCTGTCATCCCAACATAGATCCCAACAACAGCTCCTGGCAGCAGGGTCAGGCCTGTGCAAAGTTCAGCATCAGCAGGTCCGGATGCTCAGCTCTCCAGCCGGAATGGTGCTCTGTGTTTGTGGAAATGAAGTAGGAGAAACACTGCTGCTCTGAGTACAAACGAGCTGTTGTGACCTCTTGGCAAGAAATCTAGAGAAAGCCAGCAGCAGTTCTTCCAGATCCATGCTGGAGCACTGAAAATAAACTCACATCTGAGGAGCTGGAACATGAAGCCTGTGCTGCTGCAAGTACAGAGGATTTGAGATACCCCAGTGAGTAGTGAATTTTACTATTAATAAAATCAGCACAGTTTTCACATCTCATTTGTACCAGGGCCTTGACAGGGACTCCGAGAGCACCACGTGCTCAGGGAGTGTTGTTTTATTCCAGCACAAAATGTGCTGCTGAGGCAGGACAGCAGCTTGCTGTGAGTCAGGAGACTTGGAACGTCACCAACACTTGTTTTTCTTAACTGGGATACAGCTTTGGGTTTTGAGACAGCAACTCAAAGTCCCATCATCTGCTGCCTTCCAGAGAGAGAAGGAAGAGCACAGGCTCCAGCATCTCTGGCTGGGAGAGACTCAAAGATCTTCCTCTTTCTCTTCCCCCACTTGATTGCCACAACTCTTTTTCAGGAGATGCCTTGGGAGATCCATGGTTATTGTCCCTGCCCATGGCAGGGTGTTGGAATGAGATGAACTTTAAGGTCCCTTCCAACCCAAATTATTCCATGTCTTTTGATTTGAGCAAGCTGATCCTTGATCATGAAGAACCCCATTCCTTGGTGGGGTCCCACAGCCCAAACAGATGTGAGGGGTTGGAGCCAGGTGGGGGGGTCAGGCTCTTTTCCCAGGGAACAAGAGACAGGACAAGGGAGATGGCCTCAAGTTGCACTAGGGGAAGTTTAGGTTGGATATTAGAGAAAAATTATTCACAAAAAGGGTGGTAAGGCATTGGAATGGGCTGGGCAGGGCTGTGGTGAAGAACCCATCCCTGTATATGTTCAAAAAATATGAGTATGTGGCACTTGGGGACGTGGGTTAGTGCTGACCTTGCCAGTGCTGGGGGAACAGTTGGACTTGGTGATCCTAGAGAGCATATCCAACCTTAACCATTCCATCTTTCTCTGATTCTAAGACTTTTAAGATGTCTTCAAGCTCCTGTGATTTCATCTTTTAGAAACTCAGCTACTCAGCCAAGAGCCTGCTCAGCACAGGGCAGGGGCCTGTGACATGGAGAGCCAGCAGTGAAACCAGCAATGAAACCAGCAATGAAACCACAGTGAAAGCAGCAATGAAACCAGCAGTGAAACCAGCAGTGAAGCCACCAAATGGTTAAGGACAAAGCCTGGAGGGCATTTTTGGGTGCTGGAGCAGAGGCTGTGGGGCTGGAAGGGAGTCTGAGGAGTCATCCTGTCCATCTCCTGGCCTGCAGTCTCATTTGGACAGCTTCAAATGCCCTCAGCTCTCTGGGCTAGGCTGTCCTACAAGGAAAAAAACCTTCCTACATCGACTCTAAAAAAGGCTTTGCCACAATTCCAGATCCATACCCAGGAAGTCCCTGACACTATTTAAGGCCTGGGATGTGGTAGGTTTGAGAACACAGCCCAGCAGATCCCAGAAGGATATAATTTCCTGGCTCAGGCTCCCCAGCTTAGCAAGTGTCTGTCCCTGCTGCAGATCCCAAATCCTTCTGTGCCAGTGCAGTGAGCTCCCGACAGGCCCCAGGGCAACAGTTAATCCCTGTCCTGAAACAGAGATCATTTCCACCCTGTGCTCCCAGGCACACAGTAAATCCACCCTGGATTTCCTCTCCCTTGCGTGGGCACATGCTGCTCCTGCTCCAGCGACATCCCAGCACATTCCATCACCACTTCCAAGGAAGGGTTCAGCAGTATTTCAGCAGCAGATCCATGAAAAACTGTCAGGCCTGATGTTATAACTACACTGTCCCACTGGACACAGGTTTATTTCTCCCACTTGGACTTTCACACTTCACCTGGAGCTCCCTGATGGAGAGGGAAGGCCGTGGAGCAAGGGCTTGGAGGGACAGGACACAGGGAATGATTTCCAGAGGGCAGGGATGGATGGGATGTTGGGCAGGAATTGTTCCCTGGCAGGGTGGGCAGGCCCTGGCACAGGGTGCCCAGAGCAGCTGGGGCTGCCCCTGGATCCCTGGCAGTGCCCAAGGCCAGGTTGGAGAGGGCTTGAAGCAACCTGGGATAGTGGAAGGTGTTCCTGCCCATGGCAGGGGATGGGATGAGATGACCTTTAAGTTCCCTTCCCACCCAAACCATCTTGTGATTCCATGATTCTTTGTCAGCCAGCACATCCAAACGTGTGCAGGTGCCACCCATCCCTCAGAGCTGTGGCCCCTCCTCACAAAGGGCCATGTGAGGGCTGTGCCTGTTGTTCCCTGCTCCACCTGGGCTGGTCCTGCCCTGTGCCAGGGGCTGCTCTCCAGGAAAGTTGTCCCATCTGCTCCCCCCCTGTAAAACTCCAGGTCTGGGATGCCTTTTCCTCGTCCAGCTTGGCCGGAGCAGCACCGGACTCAGCCCATGGGCAGCTGTCAGTGTGGTGAGAAACCAAATCCTTCCTGGGGCCAGAGCAGAGGGATAACAGCAGGGCTGAGATCATGGCCTGGAATACTCGGAGAGAGGGTCACCACACCCAGCCACACCTCCTGCCACTGCTGGACTTTCCACGGGCATAACAACCCCCAATCCCAGCGGGAATGCTGCCCTTGAGACCCCATGAGCAGCCCGGCCACTGTCACCACTGCACAGGGACACACACCGGCCACGCTCCCGGGAGCTGCAGGGCACCGGGAGCACCACAAGGCACCGAATCCAGGGTGGAAAAGGCAAAGCCACGGATGGAGCCAGGATCCGGGCAGACCCAGTGCCAGCAAACGAGTCAGGGGGCTGGGATAGGCAGGGAGTCCCTGGGGCTGAGCTCCCGAGGCAGCGATGCTGCAGGTGGCAGGTTTGCAGGTCTCAGCCCTCCCTTCCAACACCCCCCGCTATGAAAAAGCCTCTGGAACGTGAGCGCAGAAAACAAACAGGCTCCCGGCCAGAGCAGGGCTGATAACTGCGGGGCCTTTGTGTCCTTTTTGGGTGGGCACCTCTCCAGGCACACCTTGGCACAGCTGGGCACGCCCTCACCTTGGGAAGGCGCCGTTCCTCAGGTGCTGCTGCTGGGAGCAGCCTCAAATCACTGCCCTAATAATGGGGAAAAATTGCTGTTTGGAAAAGAGGCAGGGAACCAGTGGGGATTTTCCAGGGGAAGTGGGGTTGTGTTTGTGTCTTCAAGTGAGTCACCAGGCTAGAGAGGGGCGGGACAAGCAACACATGGTGTGACTTTTGGGGCTGTCCTGTGCGAGGCAAGGAGCTGGACTCCATGATCCTTGTGGGTCCATTCCAACCCAGGATACTCCATGATTCCATGACTCAGGGGACAGGATGCTCCAGCGTCATGCCACCCCAGGGCAGGGCAAAGCTCCCAGCCCTCTTCCAGACATTTGTGGTCAGTGACTACTCTCCCTGTCACTGCATCCCTCCCGTGTCCTGTCGGATGTCCAGTGCCAGCCCCGGGGCTGCCAAATCACAGCTGTCCCTGCTGGAGCTGGAGATGCTCCCCAGGAGCTGGAACATCCTGAGGCATTTCTGTGCCTCAGTTTCCTATCCCTACACTGGGTGATCCTCCCTTCCTTCCTTCTTGGCCAGGAGATCACTGGGAACCGAGGGTGGAGTACAACAAAAATAGAGCTTTATTTTGGGACAAGTGCAATCGGAGCTGGGTCCTTGGGCCCCGGCGTGGAGATACAAGTGTGACAACGGCCACCACAGAGCCCAGCAGCGGTGCCAGGCACACACACACTGGGCTGTCCCTTTGCCACCGTCAGCATGTTCTGTGTCACAGCCCAGCACTGTCCTGGAGTGATAGCAGCTGGTCCAGGCTGCTCCCGTCCCCTCGGCTGGGCTCTCACCATCTCTGCCACGGATGCCAGTCTGCAGCGAGCTGGGAGGGATGGGGACAGCTGTGGGGGCTGAGGGGCGTGCTGGGGAAAAAGACAACACTGGCAGCAGCACCGGCAGCCCCGTGGGATTGTCACAACACGGTGGGGATGGGACAGGAGGGGACACGCGCCTGCCCTGTCCTGGGCGTTCGGTTCAGCCACAAGAACCGAGTGTACACAGAGAGCCAGGGGCCACTCCAGCCAGCAGAGCTCAGTAGTGACACACGCACACACACACACACACACACACACACGGCTGTTTGCCCAGGTGAGACAGCAGCTGGATGCACAGAGGAGCTGGGCACGCACAGCTGTGCATCCAGAGCCAGTCACTGGGTGTGCCCTGTGCACACACACAGGAACCTGCTCACCTGCACAGAGCCCCTGTGCACAGCGGTACCTGCCAGCAGCACACACCTGCACACACTCACGGAGCTGTGCACAGCAGCACGTGTGTCACACAGACACTCAACTGTGGACAGTCTGTAGCGATACACACGTGCCTACAAGCACGAGACCTGCTTGAACATAGAGCCTGTGCACACCAATGTGTGCAGCGTCACACACATCAACACACACGTCCCACACAGAGCCCTGCTCACACCTGCAGAGCCTGTGCACACCCACAAGCACAGAGCTGTGCTCAGACCCACTCACATCCAAGTGTGCAATTCGACACATGTACACACAGCAGTGCACACAACACATGCACACCAGCACGTCCACGTGCACAGGGCTGTGCACACCAGCACACATGGACACTGCGCAAAGCAGGATGTGCACACTCACATCAGGGCACAACAGAAAACACACGTGCACACAGCCATGCACACCGACACAGGTGTGCACCTCAGCACCTGTGTGTGCACGGAGCCCTGCACACCGGCACAGTCACACACACCGGCACAGACACAGAGTGTGCAGGCTCACACACACACAGGAGCAGCATGTGCAGCTCACACACACACACACACACACACAGACACAGCGTGTGCAGGCTCACACACACAGGAGCAGTGTGTGCAGCTCACACACACCAGCACACACGTGCACAGCATTCCCCAGAGCCCTCCTGGCCCCCAGCCCCCCGCGGGTCCCTACTCGTGCCGAGGGTGCCCACGCAGGCCCCAGCAGGCGGCCAGGAGCCGGGGCTGGTGGTACAGCACCATCCCGGCCAGCGTCAGCGCCACGCCGGCGTAGCCCAGCGCGCCCAGCTGTGTGCCGAACAGCAGCCACGACAGCAGCAAGTTGCCCACCACGGTGAGGCTGCCCAGGAGGTGCAGCGTGAGGGCCGAGGTGAGGGACAGGAGGCAGGAGGTGGCCAGGTTGTAGAGGACGGAGCCCAGGCAGCTGAGCAGGACGCAGCCCCAGAGCGCGGCGTCGGGGCGAAGGATGCCCTGCCACGAGGGGCCCAGCTCCAGCGCCACGGCCGCCCCGAACAGCAGCACGAAGCTGGGCAGGGATGTCAGGCCGAGCAGCGACAGCGCGTCCAGACGGTCCTCCTGCAGCAGCACACCTGGGGGGACAGGGGACAGTCAGTGGCACATCCCACGAGAACACCCACCGACACGACACCAAGCAGTAAAGAAATCCCAAATATCACTGGGAAGGGGAAAATGATGGGGGGCTGTTCCTTCCCTGGGCGGGAGTTCCCCAGTTTAGAGAGAAGCAGTAAAATCACAGACAAAGGACTATTTAAAGTCAGGGAGGGTATGTGTCTTATTACGGCAGGGTGGAGTCACCTCTCAAAGACGGGCACGCCCCACCACTGCCCCTCATTCCCTATTTATTCCCTAAAGAATTACATATGCATAGATGACACAATGCACTACACATATTCATTGTCTAACCCCGCCTGTTCTCGCCTCCTATGGCCATGAGCTTCACGCCCCTCTGGGCATGCTCAGTTCTTCTCTTGAAATGGGTCTGGGGTCCTTTTTAATGAAATCTTCTTCTTCGGGCTCGAACTTTTCAACTGTGCCCTGTTGGCAGCTCTCCTGCTCCTCTTGGACATAGTTCAGATTTCCTGCCTGCAGGTGTGCCCACAGTTCCTTTCCACAATAGTCTATTTTTCTTGTCTCCTTCTACAAACACCATTTAGGACAAGTAAGTGATATAGGGTCTTATTCTAATTAAGGTTTAATACAAGCAGAAAAATATATATATCCTTGGTCTATTCATTTCATCTTGGCAATCGCTATGTATTCCTTCTGCAAGCAGGTGTATAGCCTAACTACACCTAGTAATAATTAACTACTTACATTGCTCTTATCTCTTTCATATTTTTCTTTTAATTTCCTTAAGTTACGCTTATTCTAATCTAAATCTTTATTTCTTAATTTTCTTCACTCAAGAGGTTTCCTGGTTTGGATGTGTCTCTGTTCAGGAGTCCTTCATTTCTGGGACTCCTTGGTTTAGGGGTGCCTTGCTTCAGGGGGTGTCCCACTCTGGGTGCCTGTGTTTGGGGTCAGAGTGCCACAGGGAGGGTTGCACAGGGCAGCTTTCCCAGCCTGGTTTGGAGCATTTGTCCCCATGTCCCCCCCCTCTGGGTCATCCGAGGACAGTGGGGACAGCAGGCACAGCAGGGCTGGTGCCACACACAGACATGTCCCTGCCCTCCCCAGGGCCACTGTCCATGTCCCACATGGAGTGGGGGTGGAAAGGTGACAGGGCAGTGGCACAATGGCCAGTGGTGTCCCTTGGGGGGCCACAGCACCCCAGCACAGCCACAAGGACCTTGGGGTGGGCACAGGGCCCCAAGCCAGAGCCCATCCCCACACTGCCCCAGTCACAGGCTCCGGAGGAAACGCTCCTTTCCCAGCCAAAAGCATTCCAGCCGGCTCCTCGCTGCCGTCCGCCAAGGACAGCATGGCCCGAGTGCCACCAGAGTCCCCAGGAAGGGGGGACTCACAGGAAGTCCAGCAGCCCACAGGGCTGGGACAGCCTGGGTGACCCTGTGCCAAGCAAGGGCACTTCCACCCCCCGTGGCACAGGGACAGCAACAGGGACACAAAAGGTGTCATCAATGACAAACTACAGTCGTGTCACCTCAGGGCCACAAGCACGACACAGCCCTGAGAGAAGCAAGGGTGGCTGTGGGGTGGCACCAGAAACAAGAGTGAGCAAGGGGTGGCACCAGGGCCAACAGGGACAGGGGGTGGCACCGGGGCTGGGGTGAAACTGGGAGCCAGGGTGCCACCACCGTTAGGGTGATGCTGCGGCCAGGGTGGACAAGGAGTGTCACCAGCACAAAGGTGGCACCGGGGTGACACCAGCGATAGGGTGGGGTGGCATTAGGGCTGGGGTGACACCAGGGTGCACAGCGGGCAGCAGAGCGAGCAGGGAGAACCCCGAGCAGGGGGTGGCACCGAGGTGACACCGGCACCTCTTCCCAGAGGGCAGGCAGACATGCAGGAGAGGGACAGGGACAAGCGGCACTTACTCTGCTGGATGGACTTGAGGGC